TTATGGGCGGTACAACGGCACATTCGCGATTCAAAATCCCCGTCACCAACCTCAACGACAAGTCCCTATACCACAGTTCGCAGTCGTCATTGGCAAAGATCATCCGAGACACCAAGCTCATTGTATGGGACGAGGTCTCAATGATCCACAAGCATCCCTTGGAGGCCGTCGACCGTTCCCTTCGCGACATCATGGACAGTTTGGCGGCAAGGTTGTTGTTTTCTCGGGCGATTTCAAGCAAATCCTGCCAATCATTCCACGCGGCACACCATCGGCCACTGTGGATGCCTCCTTCAGACGCAGCAGCATCTGGAACGACTTGAAAATTGTCAAGCTGACAAAGAACATGCGGCTGCGTGGTGAATCAGACGACGCAAGCATCGAGGAATGGGCCAAGACGTTAGTTGACATTGGAAACGGAACATATCCAGAACAAGACATCTACGGCTCTCCCATGATCCGACTGCCGGATGCAATTGCCAGGAACTGGGATACCGACCAAGACCTGAACGCGTACATCGACCAAATCTATGGCGACATAAATAACCTGGCCAACCCCCCGGAGTACATGTCTGAACGAGCGATTTTGGCACCCAAGAACGTTGGGGTCGATGAATACAACGCCAAAGTGCTGCGCAAGATGAACAGTTCTGCCATGTTCACTTGCCTCTCAGCCGATTCAGTCGAGCAAGAAGGCGAGGATGTTGACGACACGGCCATGGAATTTCCCTCCAAGTTCCTGAATTCCATCAACATATCCGGCTTCCCACCGCACAAGCTCGAGTTCAAGGTGGGATGTCCAGTCATGCTTTTGCGCAACATTTGCCCCTCCCAGGGCCTATGCAACGGGACAAGATTGCGGGTCGTCAAAGTGTCAACCAAGTGCATTGAGGCAACTATCATGGGCGGCGCATTTGACAACAAGCGAGTCTTCGTACCGCGCATCACCTTGGTCGACGAGGGCAGCCAATCCAACCTCCCTTTTCAAGTTGAAGCGACGCCAGTTTCCAGTGATGCTGGCATTTGCTATGACCATCAACAAGTCTCAGGGCCAAACGTTAAGTCGCGTGGGACTTATCTTGCCAAGCCCAGTGTTCTCTCACGGACAACTGTATGTTGCACTGTCTCGACCAAAACCAAGGCTGGGATATCTGTGTTAGTGCGGGATGGCAAGTTCCCCGGATTCGAAGGAATCTACACCCAGAACGTCGTGGACCGCTTCATTTTTGCCAATGACGAAAACTAAATACTCCATAAGACAAAATTCATTTTTTCTAAATATCATGCACACATCCATTCACATAACGGTCATGGGCACAACCTACTTTTTGCAGCAATAAACGATTCTGCATCATACGTACCATGCCGTATTTCCCCTATCGTATTATCAACCATCATAGCAAATATAGGAAACCCAAAACCCAAGCAATTATTTTCAATAGACGGACGTGTTATTCGTCACGTCGTTCAACACAAATATGTACATATCTGAAACCCTTGCTGTACTCATGGAAGCAAATCATCCTGCACATCAAGTTTCTACAGCATTGTTTTTCCTCATTTGGCGCCACATAACACGGCGGTAGATCGCAAACACTGATACTTGAATGACGAACTCCTTCCGAAGTGTATACGTAAGTACTGTTCACCACATCGGATCCAACACAGCGGTCATGCCTGCAAAATGGGTCGACTGTACTCTGACCAACATATCACGAGTCAATCTGCGAAGCTATTATATTGAGTGACCGTGAGATGGCGCTGACTGTGTTCTATCACGAGATAATTAGCGATGCGATTGAGCATACCCACAAGTTGACACCGCCATGTATTCCGACATACACGTCGCGTGTCAAACAGCGGTGCTATTGCATGTTCATGAGAGGTGGAGTTAACTGATTTCAAGTCACCAAGCCACGCGTCAAAGATCACAGGATTGGTGAGTTGAGATGCATGGCTTAGTCTTAGCATAGCTGCAAAGTTTTTACCGCAGCCTATACTACTTTCAGTGGACCACGCCACAAAAGGACTGATTCCCATCCCGCAAAATACCGGACCCCGTTGTACCGCAGATAGGAGAGTTTTGAAAACGCATACTTCAAACAGAAAATGTCTGAAAACTATGCCAAGCTCAACTATGACAACAACAATAAACAGCAACAAAAACTACATATCTTGCTCCAACCGGCAATTAACACTGGCGGCAGAGCAACGGGCTCACCTAGTCAATCCATCGTATTGCAAGTGTTAACATCCTTCATTCGTTGAAAGTGCGACAATGTAACTGTTAGCGGGTTTTTCTGGCAAGAATGTCGGCCTAGCTGTTGGACACTTATGGCGTCAAAGATGATATATATGTACAGTATGTATGCGTGAGTGCATGTACTACTAGTACATCAATTCCCTCGCTGCAAAAGTAGTACTGTTGTGACGTAATCACTTTGACCAAGAGCTCCTGTAACCCCGGAAGTCCTGGACCCCTTGCGCTTACATACAATGCTATTCCCGGGGTTAAGCTGCATCACTAGTGGTTAGCTAGCACTAACCACTGAGATGCACTTATCCCCTTAATGATATGAGTTGTTTTGACTTTACACTTGATTTGACTATATGCCAGAAATATCGTGGGTTTTGTACGGCAGGAGGCCCAAATGATTACGTCACAACAGTACAGGACTACTGTTGCAGCGAGGGAATTGCTGTGTGGATCCTTCATCCTTTGTAGCGGGTTTTTCTGGCAAGAATGTCGGCCATGCTGTTGGATATTTATGACGTCAAAGTGTAGAATTCCCTCAAAACAACAATTCCACTGTTGGATTGCTCCGAAATACTGTTTCAAGGAGGGAATTATCACATCCGGATACCGCTTTTCGCCTGTAGCCCTGTAACCTGGGCCTAATCGCCGCATGCCACTTTGGCTGAGGCAACTTGGTCTTAAGCCAAGGCAGCGGTGGCCACGGTGAAAGCGACAAGGAGTGCGAACGTCATGGTGGAAATGTCCAGACCTTTCCTTCATACTACAAATGGTCAGCAGTTGCATTTCTTGTGCTTCAAGTACCTTGGACAATCACGACACTTGGTGTCCCATAGCCTCATGCGACTGTACCTGTATAGTCCATCCACAAATGACATAGTGACAGTGATCTCGCGAGAGAACATCCGCCCCAAATACTTATCCGACCGCCTTGCTAGCTGGCTCTGTGTAGAAAGGCCACCAAAGATGTGATGACTTGGTAAAGTCGAGTATTCCCAACAACCACATTGCGAATATAAATGACCTTTCCATATATCTATTTTCTATGGTCCGTCCACGCGATGGTGGTATTGTTGCACTTGACGTCCAATGAACGCTTCCTTGTCGCTCCTTGTTGCTGATGTTGTGTCGAGATATTCCTTTGCTTCTTCCAGTCGACCGAGCATGCTGAGCAAATTCGCGCACCGAGCCAGCAACGTTGCGCGGTCGCCCATGCTGCTGCACCCTTCCACCACCTTTTTGTACTGCTCCAATCCGGTGGACGTGGAGTTATGGGTCACCAGCACATCCTGCAGGGTCTTGCGGGTGAGGGACGAGTCGCCTGCCAAGAGGGACCCGCGCAAGAGCGACTCGGCCGCTTCCAGCTTATCCACCGCCACAAATTCATTGCTGAGCTCACGGAGCAGGGTCGTGTTCTAGCCAAATACTCACGACGTCAAGGGATATATTATCTACGTATATATACAATATGTATAAATGTGTTTTTTTCGGGATATGTAGTATATTGATATGTACACCACCAAGTCATAGCGAAGGGCTTGCTCCAATGCTTGTTCGGCTTCGCGCAGACGAGGTGGGGTCGCTATACATATCGGGGGGAGGGTCAAAGGAAGGCATACGAAACGGTGGTGAATCAGTCAGAACGTATACCATCAAAATCCAATCCCGGGATCAGAATACATACATGGAATCAGAATTAGTGTGACGGAGCTGGAGCATGGGCATCGTGGTATTACCATCGCAAAGGTATATTATTCGACGGGCCAACTACCTTCGAATTTGACCGTCTTGCCTTTTATTCTACAGGACCTTTTCCCAAAGGTCGTCAGCTTTAGCTAGTTTTTAGATAGTTCACTTTTACATTTGCCTAACATTGGATCTACTCCTTTCTTGCTGTGTTCTTCTTGGCCAAGCCGAGAGTATCCGGTCCTGAAGTCCGAACCTCCGGACCTTCGTAACTTTTGTGCGTCTAACCCCTACGACCGTCACAAAAATGGTGGAGAATCAGGGTATCTCTCCTGCCAAACCAAGAAATCCAGCACATCTGGATGAGCAAAGGCCTCTCGATCCACCTCCCGTTCAAGCAATCGCAGAGGACACGGATGTCGCCTCAGCCATCCCAGCCCCGATCGATACGAGACTTGACCTCGTGAGCGTGGCTGACGACGAAGTTCTCCTTAGTAGCAGCTCTGATGAAGAGTGTAAAAGTCAGCCTGAACCTGCCCAAGGCACCCCTGTCCAGAAACAGTTAAAGCGAGACATCAACTACCGAATCCAACACCATTCCAACTCGCCCGAGCAACGAGACTTAGAGAAACGAAGCAAAGCG